TATTGATGGCTACTAGCCATGATGGCTAGATGGACCAATGACCTGATTTGGTCCAGGGCAGCTGCCTGTGTTTACCAGGGCAAAGGCTGCAAGGCTTTATGCCTCTCTGCAGATGATGGCAATAGATGCTCCAGAGTATTGGCCTTTCCCCAGTGACTTTCTTCAGGTCTTTAAGGGAGAAAAGTCGCCTTTTCCAGGTCCTCTGTTGTTTCCCTTTACAGAAACTCTTACAACAAGAAAAATGGAGAGAATTGGAGAGAACGGTGCAAGCCTATTCTTTACTTAGAATTAAATTTATTGTTTTCAGTAGGGCTTTTTCCTTAGGGTAGCTTCCCCCAACCTGGCGTCCTCCAAATGTTTTGGACCACCACGGGCTGGGGAGTGTAGTAATCAAAAAGATCTGGAGGTCACCTGGTTGGTGAAAGTTGCCCTAGACAAGGGAAAGTTTTCAGCCTGTTGCCTTCAAGCTTCCTATGAGCTGGCTGTATCTATTTGCTCGTGTTCATTGAACATACATGATTATTATTTTATACAGTATTTTTGAGATGCTTTCCGACTTAGTAGCTGAGCAATCTAGGTATGAAAGACCACCTAGCGTAAAAAGAAATTCCAAGCCCCAAACCCCTATTTATTATATTAAAAAAATATGCCACAGGATGGGTCAATTGAATACCATTGGCTCAGTCCTGTGCAATCCTCTGCCATCAGGCCTATGCAGGACTTCTCCCTGTGTTGGCCTGTTGATATTTTCTTTTAATTTATTTCTTGCTTTTCACTTCTTTGTAACTTTTTATGATGTTATTGCTTGGTTTCATGTGTTTATATTGTTGTAAACTGCTGTGATATACTTCTTATAAAAATATTTAACTAAATACCATAAATAAAAAGCCCCATGCCCAAACCAAGGCCACATATATACAGCATACAGTTAAAGCAAATGATGTCCCCCATAGAATCCTGGGAACTGTAGTTTAAGGGCGCTAGGAATACTAGCTCTGCAAGCAGTCAACTACAGCTCCCAGCATTCTACAGAGGAACCAGTGTGCAGTGTGGATGCGACTTTAAACACAGCCTGCTTGAGCAGTGTTTAAAAGCCACCCTCTTCAGAAAATAAGAAGAGCCTGCTGGATCAGGCCAATGGCCCATTTGGTTTAGCATCCTTGGACTGTGTCAGACCATTGGTCCATCGAAATCAGCGCTGTCTACTCTGTCTGGCAGTGGCTCTGCCAAGTACTGGACCTCAGACTTTCTGAATGCAAAGCACTTGCTCTACTGGTAAACCATAGACCTTTGCTGTAGGAAATGTTTCTGCAGGTCTGATGGACACCAGGTGCCAGCAAAAGCTATTGCCTTCATGTCCTGCCAAGTGAATTTCTCAAGAGGGCATCTGTGAGGATACACCATGCTTTTTGTGGGAAACAGGTGCCAGACTAGAGGTCATCATTCAGCCTGCTCTCCTTATGCACTTGCATTTTTATTTTTACAACTTTTTACAACTGATCAAAGGTGCAGCATCAGCGGAAAAGACCAAACTTCAAGACCAGAATTATTTGGGCAAGGGCCATAGCTCAGTGGGAGAGCATCTGCTTTGCATGCAGAAGGTCCCAGGTTCAATGCTCAGCATCTTCCAGTTAGGTCCTCTGCCTGACACTTAGAGAGTCACTGCCAGTCTGTGTAGCAATACTGAGCTGGATGAACCAACAATCTGACTCAACAGAACACAGCTTCCTGGGTTCCTGTGAATTAAGGGAAGGATCACAACAAAGAGGCAGAACATCTGCTTTCCACACAGAAGGTCCCAACGTTCAATCCCTGGCATTACCAGGAAGAACAGGGACTATCCCTTGCCCGAAACCTTGGAGAGCTGCTGCCAGTCAGTGCAGACAATACTGAGCTGGAAGGATGAATGGTCTGGCTTGGCATCTTCCTATGTTCCTAGGAAGTGGATTTGCTGGGGGGGGGGAGGGAGGGAGGAAACAATAAATAAAAACAAAACAGTAGATATGGTTTACAGAATTTGCAGCCAGAAGACATGGCAACAGGCACTAGGTTTAAAACAACTTTAAAACAACTGAAGGATGCAGATTTGCAGGGCCAAGAGGTCAATGAGCCAGGAGCACAACAGCAGAGCCAAAACTCTGTGTTTACACAGGCAGAATTACCTTAATTCACTCCAATAGCAAATTCAGGTGGTGAGTGCCAGCTGGAGATGTTGAGAAAAAACGAGGCCATTGAGAAACAAAAGAGGGAACAACCTGAATGCACTGGCAGTTCCTGAGATTTTGCAAAAGTGGAGAAGCAATTAAGAGCCACTCCAGTGAGGAGGACCTAGCGAGCTGTTGCGCAAAGCTTTAAGCCTGCTGGAGGAGAACTGGCTGGTTTGCACCCTGAGTAGGAGCAGTTCTAAGAAAAGGTAAGAATAGATTGCAACATTTCGTTGCACTGTCCATTTTGCCGCTCTAAGAACAAACTCAGGCGGCTGAGTGCCGATCACATCGGAAGCAAAAAAACCAGGACCGTTCCAAAATAAGGTGGAAACTTCTACAGTACATACGAAGGGGACTTTTCTATCATCCAAACCAGGACACAAATGTACACAAGTCTGCAAATTAACATGGAGGATACCCTATGTTTTTAGAATCCCTAAATGGCCCAGCAAAGGACCTCTGAGCTTACACAAGCAGAAAAATGTGGAGTCAGGTAATGGGGTTCTAGAGCAGGCTATTTTTTTCAGACTCCCCCCCCCCGATTCTATAAACTAATCCCCAGTGTCCCCTAGCTCACCCACTAAGAAAGACAGTATTACAATAATCAAAATCCAATGAAAACTATTTAGTTTAATTAATTAATTCAAGAAACTTGATGAACTTGGGCCAAGGAATCCAGCAAGTCTGATAAAAATTCACGCCTCCTGTGCTCCCTGCCAGCTTCTTGCACAAGTTGACCCCACCGCCCCCCAGGTGGCAGCAGTGGTGGACCTACATTTTGGGGTGCCCTGAACTGTTACGGAGAGGCCCCTTCACCACCAGCAGTGAGCTCTGAGTGACTACCATTATCTTCTCTGGCAGGGTTGTTCCATGACAGATCACCACAACTTATTAATTTTTTAAATTAACTACTACATGTCAGATTTTCATTAAGATCGCTATACTGGATCATCTCACATGTCGGAGACACTGGTGTGAATAAAAAAAATCCAATGCCTTATAGTTTTTGAGTTATGGGGGGGGAGGTGTGAAAACTAGGGAAATGTTATTTACATGCAGGATGCACTTTTCAAAGCAATTAAAAAAACAACAACAGCCATGTGGCTGAAAGTCACTTCTGGGGCCCCTCCAGGGCCCTGAAACTTTCATAAAGTAAAGGGTAAAGGGACCCCTAACCATTAGGTCCAGTTGTGGCCGACTCTGGGGTTGCGGCGCTCATCTCGCTTTATTGGCCGAGGGAGCCAGTGTACAGCTTCCGGGTCATGTGGCCAGCATGACTAAGCCGCTTCTGGTGAACCAGAGCAGCACACGGAAACACCGTTTACCTTCCCAGGTACCTATTTATCTACTTGCACTTTGACGTGCTTTTGAACTGCTAGGTTGGCAGGAGCAGGGACCGAGCAACGGGAGCTCACCTCGTCACAGGGATTCGAACCACCGACCTTCTGATCAGCAAGCCCTAGGCTCGGTGGTTTAACCCACAGCGCCACCCGTGTCCCGAAGCTTTCATAGTAGAAATGAAATGGGGGCCATTTCACCTGCTTTGAAAACTACTGGTGTAGAGGAACTAGAAGCTGGGCAAAATGAGCTAGCCTGCAGTTGAACATAACAGGCAAGAGGAGCACCATTTGTGGCAGGATTTGCTTGCACCTCTATGTCTCAGATGCTGGGGGTGCGAACCACTAGTGGGAAGCGAGGGGGACAGGAGATGCTGTGATTTCTTCCCCTGCTGACAAACTTCCCCAGAAATTCGCTGCCTGGCACCTACTGGGACGCAAAACATGGGATTAGTTAGAGGGACCTTTGGCACCGGCCGGGACAACCTTATGTAAGTTACCCACTTGGACACTGGTTAAGAAACGGCCTGCCCTTTACTTAACCCCCAGGGCAAGTCTCTCTCTCACCTGCACCAGCGTTACTGAAGAGCTTTGAGGTATGTGCCAGAGAGAGATCTGGCTTGGTATCATGACCCACTGTTTACCTCTTAGGTAAATATGGGTTAGAGGAGCCAAGAGAGAGAAAAGGGAAGGAGATAAAGAACAACCGTAGGACAACCTTCCAAGGTAGACCGGTCAGGGTGATTGCAGAGGGTTTCCTCCCCCCAAAAAAGCACTCCAACCCTGCATGTGCATAGCCCCACCCCAAATGGGCATTGCCAGGATTTATCTTAGGGGAGCAGGTAGCCAGGACGAATGTGGGGCACCTGTCACCCTCTGTCTGGCTCCATCTAGCAGATTCGGACAGAAACGTTTCAACAACAGTTGTTGAAAATAACTTTCTTTTGACCCCAAGTGCTCAGAAAAACCTGTCAAAATCTTCCTACAGTTTCTACTTTTGGTTAAGTAATTTATTTATTTTACTTGATTTAGGGGGAGGCAGCTACCTTCCCTGCCCCCCTGGCTACGCCCATGAAATCCTTCCCTTAGAAATCAAAGGAGGGCGGCGGCGGCGACTTCTGAGTAAACATATCCAGATAGTCAGGCTGCGGAGCATGACATCGCCTGGTCTTAAGGGAAGTGGGCAGTTTTATCCCTGGAGATCGCAGGGCGTCTTTTGCAGCACCAAGGACGGGGGCGGGATGCTTGAAACCGGATAAGTCAATCACGGCGCGCGGGGGGAGAATCGGTCCCCATAGCTACTGCTTACGTGTGCTTAAGAAGTGGGGCTACGCTGGGCTCAGAAATGGGGGATCTGGGCCAGCCCCCTAAGAACTGAGTGAAGTAAACGCAACTCAGACAAAGAATGGATGGATGGATGAGGTTCATAGTCCTCTTGATCATCTCTTCTCCTTACCTTGGCCAGCGCCTCCTCCTGCTTGGCGCTGAGGTCGCCAACGTACCCGCTCATGGTGGCCCGCGCTCTTGCAGCTGATCCAACCGGCGAATGCCGAGCCGGTGCTCCGGTCCGAAGGCTTTCATGTCCAGCCGGGCTCTGCCAGGCTCCCAAGCCCCGCCCCGGCCCGGCCCTTAAAGGGGACGTGCCTCTTGGCGAGCTGCGCGGGCGCGGGTCTCTTTCTGCGCGCTCGGCCAGTGCCGGATTGACGTATTGCATAAACTAAACAAGCTACAGTTTAGGGCCCCACTCTCTTGGGCGCCCCAAAAAAATTAAAGGAAAAAAAACTGGATGTACATTTCCAAAATATAAGATAAAAAAACAAATAAACCTATTACAGATAGGTAGCCGTGTTGGTCTGCCATAGTGAAAACAAAAAAATATTCCTTCCAGTAGCACCTTAAAGACCAACTAAGTTAGTTCTTGGTATGAGCTTTCGTGTGCATGCACACTGTGCATGCACACGAAAGCTCATACCAAGAACTAACTTAGTTGGTCTTTAAGGTGCTACTGGAAGGAATAAATAAACCTATGTAAAGGTAAAGGGATTCCTGACCATTAGGTGCAGTCGTGGCCGACTCTGAGGTTGTGGCGTACAGCTTCTGGGTCATGTGGCCAGCATGACTAAGCCGCTTCTGGCGAACCAGAGCAGCGCACAGAAATGCCATTTACCTTCCCACCGAAGTGATACCTATTTATCTACTTGCACTTTAACATGCTTTCAAACTGCTAGGTTGGCAGGAGCTGGGACCAAGCAATGGGAGCTCACCCCGTCGCGGGGATTCAAACTGCCGACCTTCTGATCGGCAAGTCCTAAGCTCTGTGGTTTAACCCACAGTGCCACCCGCGTCCCCTTTTACATCAACATACATACAGCAACTACATACAGCAACAGTGTTTTGTTTTGTGTTGTGTAGGCTCCTATGATGTAAGTATTGGGCCCCGCCTGCTAGCCTGCTCCCTAAAATATTACTGGTTTGCTCATTTCTATACAGTGGTACCTCGGGTTACATACACTTCAGTTACATTCGCTTCAGGTTACAGACTCCGCTAACCCAGAAATAGTACCTCGGGTTAAGAACTTTGTTTCAGGATGAGAACAGAAATTGTGCTCCGGCGGCACAGCGGCAGCGGGAGGCCCCTTAACTAAAGTGGTGCTTCAGGTTAAGAACAGTTTCAGGTTAAGTACGGACCTCCGGAATGAATTAAGTACTTAACCTGAGGTACCACTGTATATATAGGGTGCCAACATTCTGTATGTGCAAATGGCTTTCGATACCTATTAGGTCCATAAATTACCATATAGCATATATTCAACACAAAAAACAGCGACAATTTGTTGTTGACAAAGGACAGCTACCTTCAGTAGCTTAGGGCCTCTTCAAACCTAAATCCGGCCCTGGGTAGGGGCTGCAGCTGAGGCCTGACCTTTCGCGCTCTGTGAAGCTATGGGGTGCTCTAAGCGCAGGCACACACAGGAAGGGAGAAGAGCTGGCAGGGTTGCCAACTGACCGGGCAGAGAAGGAGCCTAGCCCTGTTCTTGGGAGGTGGACAATTGCATCAGGAGAGGCTGTTGGATCAGGCCAGCAACAGCTCATCCGGTCCAGCATCACAGCAGACAACCAGATGGCCCAATGCGAAAACCCTCAAGGAGGGTTTCCAGCAACTGGTATTCAGAAGCGATGCTGCCTCAGACTGTGGGGCAGAGCATAGTCATCGTGCCTAGTAGCCATTGATCGTCCGTGAATTTGTCCGTTGCTCTTTTGAAGTTATGCAAGTTGGCGGCCTTCGCTGCGTCCTGTGGCGGTGAGTTCCGTAGGTTAACAGTGCTGCATGAATAAGTCCTTTCTTGGATCTGCGTGGAATCTGCCAGCTTTCAGCTTCATGTGATGTCCACGAGTTCTGGGGTTATGATAGAGGGAGATAAACATTCCTTTATCCATGCTCTCCATGCCACTTTTTGTGAACTTCTGTCTGTCACCCCTTCCTTGCCTTTTGTTGCAAACTGAAAAGCCCCAAACAGGCAGAGATCAATAGAGTCAGAGGTATAGAGGTAACTACCGTAAATGTGTTTTAACTGATTTTAATGTTGTGTTTTTATATTGTTGTAACCCACCCTGTGGACGCGGGTGGCGCTGTGGGTAAAACCTCAGCACCTAGGACTTGCTGGTCGGCGGTTTGAATCCCCGCGGCGGGGTGCGCTCCCGCTGCTCGGTCCCAGCGCCTGCCAACCTAGCAGTTCGAAAGCACCCCCGGGTGCAAGTAGATAAATAGGGACCGCTTACTGGCGGGAAGGTAAACGGCGTTTCCATGTGCTGTGCTGGCTCACCGGATGCAGCTTGTCACGCTGGCCACGTGACCCGGAAGTGTCTGCGGACAGCGCTGGCCCCCGGCCTCTTGAGTGAGATGGGCGCACAACCCTAGAGTCGGACACAACTGGCCCGTACGGGCAGGGGTACCTTTACCTTTAACCCACCCTGTGACTCCGGGTAAGAAATCTAATTCCTGCTTGAAATGCATCTGGATAACTTATTATTTTTATTTTTATTGCACTCATATTCTGCCTTTTTTCCCCTCCCAGGAGCTCCAGATGGTGTACATGGTTCTCTCCCTCCTCATTCCATCCTCAAAACAACACTGTGAGGTAGGCATAGGTTGCAGAAATCTTCCCAAGGTTACCATCCAGTGAGCTTCACATGGCTGAGTGGGTATTTGAACTCTGGCCATCCAGATCCTAGTCTGACACTCTAACCCAGGGGTTGGCAAACTAAGGTCTGCGGGCCGGATCAGGCCCAATTGCCTTCAGGATCCGGCCTGCGGACTGTCCATGGATCGGCGTGGGGATTCTGTTCATTTGGGCTGCGCCATTTCTGTTATGTACTGAAGTTCTCACTGTGGGCCAGCAGGGGGATACTGTAGATAGTTTTCACTCAGGTCCACATATGCAAATAAGGAATTGAAAGTGACGTTCAGTGATTGGATAGTTACAGAAAGTTGTTACTGTTGCGTTGTAGTGGAGCTCTATATAAGCAGGCTGGCTGAACCCTTCAGTTCAGTTCTGTTCTGGCCTGTGAATCGCTGTGTTGTCTGATATGTTCACCCACAACTTAACAATTCCCCCCCCTGCGCCTTTCTATTTGCCCACATACACCCCCCCGTGGCGGCGCCTCCTCCCTCCCTCCTCCTGGCTTCTCCCCGCCCTGCCTAGAGGAGGAAGGGGGCAAGGCTGAGCTGGCGGACCGCGATTTTAAGCAGCCCCTCCCCAGAGCCAGCCCTTTTGCACTGCTCATCTTCCCTCCACCGCTACCCTGGTGCTCCTGTGGGTCAGGTGGCGGTGGCGGCTGCAACCCCTGGCAGTTAAGCGCAGTGAATGGGGGTGGGGTGGGGAGGAGGACTTCTTGCCCCCCCTCACCTCTTCTTCCAGCTCCCCACCCCTCCAATGCCTCTTCTCTGGCCTGCTGCAAGGTCTAAGGGACAGTGGACCGGCCCGTGGCCAATAAAAAATTGCCGGCCCCAGCTCTAACCACTATACCACACAGCCTCTCTTGCATCGTTTTTCAAAATATTGCAAGAGTTTGCTTGGTGCAGCCTACATTTTGGACTGCCAAGGAAGCACGTGTGTGTGTGTGTGTGTGTGTGTGTGTGTGTGGCGAAAACCCAGAGATCAGCTTTGCTATCTCCTCCTGCTTGAACAGCAGGTCAATGTGCAGTAATCAGTGGCAGATGTGATAAGCATTATCATGGGATCAGTGTCTGTACACGAAACTGCGGCTCAAGGTGGGAGAGCAGAGGCAAAGTTGGCATCCTAGGAGGGGTGTTGCAAAGGTGTGGCCTGCTGTCCTTTGGCTCCCCCACCAGCCTGCAGTGACTGGCAGCTCTCACAGGCGGAACAACAGAGGGACTCTTACCCAGCTAGACAGTCCTCCTGAGCCAAACAACACCCGCCCCCTGCTTTAACCTTGAACTCTCTGGGCTTTGGCCTCCCAGATAAAAGTCACTTTCCACCTGCCACACCACACATTTCATGGATAAACTGCTTTGATCCAGGAAAGTGAGTGCGGAGAAATTCAATTCAATTCACATTCATTTATTTGTTTACATTTATATATATTTGTGTGTGTGTGTGTGTGTGTGTGTCACTGTTTCATAGGAAAAATATCCACGTGCTTTAGAATAATACATAAAACCATGCATTGAAAAATATATATTAAAAAATTACAATCAGACCTCAACCATTGTGGCAGGATGTGTTGTTCTTACGTGCCTGTGTAAGCCTGGCAGAACGGAATAGTTTTCAGCAGCTGTTTAAAAGTTGGCAGAGAAGGGGCCTTGCTGAATCTCTAGTGGCAGAGAGTTCCACAGGACTGGGCCAATGAAACTAAAGGTTTCTTAAATGTATAGTCACCTGTTCCCTTTTCCATCTGGCCACTAAGGATTATCCCCATGTTACAGATTCTCCCCCTTGCACCAGTACCAACAGGTGACAAAATAGCATCCTGAACCACACCTGAGGTCAATAGACCTAGTTTGGTGGGGGTACCATACAGGACAGGTCATGTAGCGCATAGCAGTCTCTTTCCCCACCCCTCATCACCTAGCAGTGAAGCCAGCCCTGTTCATAGTACAGTGGTACCTCAATTCTTGACTGTAATCCATTCCAGAAGACCATTCGAATTCCGAAACATTTGAAAACTGAGGCGCAAAGGACTGGCTGTATATGCAACAGAGAAAATTGAAAAACATTCAGCGGAAACCATTCGACTTCTGAGGCGTGTTTGAAAACGGAACCATTTATTTCTGGGTTTTCGGTGTTTGGGTTCCGAAATGTTAGTCAACGGAGACGATCAGGAACCGAGGTACCACTGTATATCCTACAACTCTAAAACAATTCAGCTATGTCTTTTTGATCATCGTGTATCACAGTCCTTATGAATTCAAGTCCCACTTATCTCTCTGGGATAGCGTCCCTTGTTATGTGTCCACTGGATAAAAACTTTTAAATCAGCCAAGGCACCAGGCTTAAAAATAATTGCAGAAGCAATTACGCTGGGCTTTCTGATGGGTACGCCCAAAGCTCTATAGCAGAGACTTAGGCAAATGAACACTGTTGCAGAACAGGATGAAACA